ACGTGATTCTTTGTGTTTCATGAGCTTTTTCCATTTAGAACGAAAGTGTAGATGAGAGTGGTGCTGTTTTGAAAGAAGGAAATGAAATGTGGACCGATCTACAACAAGAACTGTTTGGTAGCGGTAGAAACTCGCAAGTGCGTATTGCATGTCTTATTGCATATCTTTGTAATGCTGCTCATTTTGCATTAGGTTATAATTATTATTTCATTGTATTTATTGGGTAGCGTAGCGCTTTATTGCAAGCAACGTCTGTCAGATAAGTTTTTTATTTTTTCATTTTTCTAAAAATAAGATGCTTTGTGAAATCTCCTTTTTCTCGTTTAGGTGGAATTGAACCGAATGAAAACGACGATGTTCCAGAGCTGGGCAAGTCATGAGCTTTTCAAGTCACAAGTCAGGTCACTAAAAAAATGTCAAGTCAAGTCGAGGTCAGAAAATTTTTCTTCCTAAGTCAAGTCACTCCTCGAAATTGTTCAGATCTTCGTGATATAATGCAATAAAGGTCTAATATATCACAGAGACCACTATCTAAATAAAAATATGTAAAAAGTTATAGAAACAAAATAAAATCATCATGAAACATACCTAAATGTAAACATTTTGAGTGATTTCTTGAACCTAGGTACCATTTCCATAAATTTTCGATATTATTATTCATTGAGGAAGCTGAAATATTTTCTTGATGTTGTAATCGGTGTTGAGGAATTGAAATTTTTGACAGATATTTCTGAAGTAGAAGGTGATGTGTTTGTTTGTGAAGTTGACGTTATGCTTCCATTGTCAACTTCGTTTTTTAAAAATTGAATTAGACTAGCATAATTAGACGGATACGATTTACGGACTAAAAAGATATGATTGATAAACAACGTAATTTGTAAATCATAAACTATTTAATTAAACAAAAATATTTTGCTCTTATCACTTTGTAAATCAGTGCTTTCATCTGCCACTAAGTCACTTGTTGACTGATCTGAATTTAAAAAAGTAGATTACGCACTTGTATGTGAATGAATGAATGAATGAATTATTATTATTCACGAAATCAATATGACCTTAGATTCAAACTTTTACTTTGTAAACATTGTATTTCGTTAGACGTTGATAGTGAAGAGCAAGCACAATCAAATATAAAGCACTTACAACGTGAACAAATATTAGCGTCCATCTGAAAAAACAATAACTATGATTATATTTAAGAGTACTCTCTTCATCCTTCTCGAAGTGAAAATTTTTGAATAATTTTTGAATAATAAACAAATACTTTGAATAATTCATACATACATATCTAACTTTGTAAGCAAAAATGGTTAGACATAAAAGATTTGAGAACAAAAACTATGAGATATTAAAAAATTGATTTTCTTTTTGAGAAGGAAAAGTTGTCCATGTTTGAGCACAATATTCTTCCAAAAACAGAAAATAGAGAAAAAAATATTGAGTTGAGCAGATACATGGTTTCGTTGTGACCGTTGTGATGTCATTATTGAAGATTATAATGAGGTTTGCCTTTTTGTTCGACTGGTGGCGTTTAAAAAAATAACAAAAAAACAATAACTTTGTCTTGTATATAACAAAGCAGTTCGATCAGTAGCGGTCACTGTTAAATAAAGTTTTCGCCAAAGGTCGCACCTTGAAATACCATTAACGCAAAACCACCGATGTTTTTGTAGCAGCAAAAAATGTGTTTCAAGTTTTTGAAACACTATTCAAGTGTACTGTTCGAAAGATAGCCTATATTTTAGCAGCTATTTGAAGGGAAAAGGTTAATAATTTAAAAGCTCTTTAGTACATGTAAGTCTATTCTTCGCTGAAGAAGACCATCAAAACATGCACCAACCATTTAGTATCAACAGGAAACTTGGAGTAAACTGACTAAAAATTACACCATCTTGTAGAGAAATTTCCGAAATTTCTTTTTTAAAAAGTCTCCATAAGGTTTTAATGGTAGATGTACAGTTAAAAATGTGTAAAATTGTTTTCTCTACAAAATCTGAGCAAACTTCTGAGCAGTTGAAAAAGCAGTTGGCCATAATCAAAGAAAATCGGGTCCCCTCCTTTTTGGACCTACTTTCTGCCAAACAATAGCCCCTCCCACTCTAAGCTAATCGGGAATCCTGACAATGGCAGATAATGAGCGTCTACTAACTTTTCTGCTGTTATTAAATGTTCCCCTATATCACTATCCAATGATTGTCTTGCACTATCAAAATTTTCATCATCTGACAGAGCATTGAACTATTGTGTTTTTTTTAATTTCATATGTATCATCTAACACTGTATATAAAAACCTGTTTGAAGTTTATAATCAAAATATTTGGCATTATCTAATCGAGTGAATTTTTTTTCCCTTGACTTTAGTCTAGGGTCTTACAAAATGGTTGTCTGTGTTTATTTAAAATCAATTTTTATCAAAAATTTATTTGTTAGTTGAACACTTATAGTATCCAATCAATTTCTAATGCGTTTATTGCTTATGGCGTTTACCATGTAGATCTTATTTATTTGTTTTGTGTTTTAGTCTCTTTATTTATTTTACACAATTAACGTATATAGTGATTATGTACGCTTTATTATTAATAGAAACCATCAAAAGGGTTGATGTCTAGTGACGAGACAAATAATGGCGCCGGTGTTTTGTTTTCTTATATAACGTGTCTACTTGACAAGTTAGTTCAAGTTTGCGAAATAAGAATTGTGGCCGAGGATCAAAGTCAAGTTCGAACCTAATTTGACTTAGATAAGATTTAATTTTAAAATTCCCTGGTTTAAAGTTTCTCTTGGACATTATTTGCCTGTTCTGTTTGACAGAGAAGTGTATAGGGGCAACTAGATTAAGAGCATCAAAGTCGTTGAATAGTTTCTGTGGCAGAGTAGATAAGATGAAACTAAACATTCAAAATGGTAGTATATCATAGAATGGCACGCTCCTATTTCGTGAAAATTTACAAGTATGAAGTAGAGTTTCCTGAAATTCACCTTTGAATAGGATAATGATATACGTGTATACTACGCTTCGCCCAACACTCTTAGGTTAGGTAAGATCAGGTCATTCAAATGGATTTCGCCACATTGCCGTGACGTTGCTAGTGACGTTACCTAACCTCCTACACATATGTGAGAGAAAACTACTACTAACATAAGAGGAGAAAGCGGCAGCGTGAGAAGAAACCGCTCCCATCATACGATATAATATATATATGACTGATATATACTGAGTCTACTTACCTGATCTAAAAGTATAACGCAACGTTAAGAAATTCATTTGAATTTCCTGATCATACCTCACCTTACCTAACCTAAGATAGTCTACTATATATATATATGGCTAGATATTCTTACCGTACTCTTTCATACGATTAATTTTACCTTATGTAGTATAATTTCTTGAGTTCTTGTACCAAGATTTTGATTAAGATCTTAGATGACTTAATCTTCGAAATTGTTGAATCATTCTTTTGTTTTACACTCTTGTTTGTATATAAGTGCGAATATTCCATACTTAGAATAACTATAAATCTTTTTTTCTTCTTTAGCATAGTTGTTTAAGGAAGAGCCTATGATTATATATATGGATGTATATCTGATAACTATGACTTCATAGATAGACGGACAGCAGCAGCCGCAAAACTGGACTTTTCTTCTTTTTCAAAATCTTGTGCTCAATAGGCTGTTTGTTTTAGTATTTATTTTCACAAATCCATAAACGTCTTTGAACGCTAAAACTATCGAAAAAATGAGCAAATATCCGTCACAAGGTTAAAGTAGGATTCAGCTTTACCTGAGTAGTGAAAAATATTGCTTGTATAGTAATGTTTTAGAAAAAATTATAATGTTTTTATAGGCTCACAACGTAATGTGTCGAACCGATCATCGTCTATGGATGCTCCTCGAGGTATTCATATACTTATATGCCAACTTAAATATTTATGTAATACAAGAAAGACCTTATTAACATAGGTACGCAGAGCCGTGCAGTAGTACCAACATCAAGAAACACAGCCCTCGAACGTGTAGCACAAAATCCTATACGATTTCACGATCAAGATGGAATGTTGGTGCCAGACGGTAAAGAACAATAGATTCGTACTAAAACGACAGTTATTTACAGTTAATCTATCCTTCCAATTCAGGATATACTGCCCGCCAAATACGACCTGCTGCTCGTGCTGATGTTGTAAGTAGAACAGTATGCATTCGTACTGTTGTATATGTCAACATTCGTATTGTGTATATGTCAACATTTTACTCTTTGTCTAATTAGTTAGTCTTTTTCCATATGATAGGTGATTCTCGATTCCTCTGTACCATGAGTTTAGCTAGGTGTTTAATCGCTTTCGCTCCATCACCGCTGTGGGAAAAGTCCGACTAAGATTTCTAATTGTTCAGAAAGGTTTACAATAATCTTTCAGAATTTGTGAAAGGGAAACGTCTAATCACAAGAATTTTTGGGATTGATATGGTTCTTCTTTTTTGTGTAGGTCACTATGGCCAGAGCGATGAATGCTGATTTTGCACCCAAAGCGAAAGCCATGTTTCAAAGCGAAGTTGAAGCAGCAAGAACAGCAATTGAAACAGGTAAAATGTGCAATTTGTGTGAAAAAAAGTTTTAAACTACATACTGTGTGTCATTAGATTTGTACATCAGTTACAGATTACCCGGAAAAGATTTTGATTGTTATCGTATAAGTAGTAGTGGAAAATGTTTTTGTGGTCATCTATTATCTGATCATGAAAAGTATACTGGTATGTTGAACGTATCACGTGTTATGTGTTTTACCAGTCAAATCTTGTGTTTTTCTCTAGGTAAAAGTCATCGACTTAAATGCAAAACACCTAGTTGTACATGTCCAGCATTTGAATATGTCCCAGGTCGTGCTGATGAAGTAGGAGAATTTTGGTTAGCAAAGCGACCTGGCTTTGATCCTTCACAATGGCGAGCAAAGTGTAAATGCACACATTCACACGACGTTCATGAACCAAAATACAAGAGATGTAAAGGTAATTTGATAACAAATTGGTGTTTTTTGTATCATCATAGTGTTTCTATATTTTGTATTCAGAATGTAACTGTGGAAAATTCATTTCGAACTTTCTTTGTTCTGCATGCAACAAACACTGGTAAAAATTTGTTCTATTTTGCTGTAACGTTATAAATGCTTTTCTAGTCATAGTATTGATTTGATTTTATAGGGAAGAGCATGAAACATTTTTCGAAAGTGGGAGTGATCGTGACGCTCAAAAATTACCAACAGGTAATAATTTTTATCCAGATGAATTTATAGTTATATACTGATGTAGGTGGAAAATGATGTGGTTTCACAACTCAGTTACCTTTAGGTTCATTTTACTTGCCGTTTGCCGAACTCCCCGATATGCAACAAGTTATTTTCACTGGAAGCGATGATCATATGCCCAGTCCATATCTTGATCAGATGCCCAGAAATGCTGTGCAACAAGGATCGAAAGCGAATGCATTACGTGAGTAAACATACTCTGCATGATACATACACGATCATTACATTGGTTATAAATTCTAGAGCGTGCTAGTCGTCCAGCAATAGGTTATAACCAACCGCAGTCGAAACCTCGTAATAACAATCGTTCTCCTCTCCGAGGACAACACAGAGCTGATCAAGAATAAACATTTAGTTTTCAAATATTTCGTATTTTATTTAAGCCGGTGCTTGTTTATTTGCTGTGTTATGTATATATAAGCGGGTTGCACTCTAATGTTTCAATACATTTCTGATGTACAAATACCGAATTTGGGTGATAGATGCTTCACAGAACAATACTTTATTTCGTAGTCTGCTTTGATACACAAAATTTTTTGATAATCCTGTATGTAACCTAAAGAGCTTTTTTAAACAAATTCTCGCATAGAGAATATATGAAATATATTAACATGAACAAATAGTTTGTGTGAAAAATCAATTTTCTTATATCGATGCTTTTTGAATGGAAATATTGATAGTGTTTTTTGTACGAGATTAAATCTACTGTTATAAATAATGACATGTTGTATATAAACGTAAAGATTACTTAGTGTAGTCACTACAAATTTTGAATTGTAGTAACTAACTGGTGGATTGGTTATTTAAAAACACGAACGTGACTTGAAGTTATCGTCGTCGTCATTCAGTTGTGTTACAGCACTGAATATGCTCTTGAATAAAGTATACCATTGCGGGATAAATGTATATTTCGATTGTTTGTGCGATAATAATCTAATTTGACTACAATTAAAACTGAAAATCAACAACAAAAAACGAAAGAGTAGGACTCTTTACTCAAGGTGTCAGGTAACTCATTCCATTTTTTAATGGTTCTCACTAGAAACGTTTTCAGCTAAAACATAAGTTCCATATGAGAGCTTTTAACTCATTGAGTTTGTACGACACTAAATACATTACTCAATAAGGTTAAACCTTGCTAGTCCAGTGCGGCTATGAAGCATTTTTCAAAAAAATGTTTTAGCCACACTGATTTTCTATGATCAGACAACGCTTAAAATTTTGTTTTTTAAGCTACGCAAGATGAATTTTCGAGTTATTATGCATGTGAAACATTGATCAGAATTTAATGAGTCATGACGTGTCTTTTAGGTGTTATTGAGCACAACTGAATCATATTATATCACCAGCATGACATAAGTCTAGATACAGGTCCTGTTTTTATTGTGTTAATGTATTGACGAAACGTTCTACTTATCGTTTCTAAGATTTTTTCAGTAGCATGACGAGACAGTTTTAAATTATGAGGAATTGAGAGTACAAGTAGTCTGATTTTAGTTACATATGCAAAGTAGGTTCATCTCCCAATTCCATAATCAAATTTGACAAAAAACCTAGAAGGATAATAAAAAATAAGCCCATTGCAGATAAGTCACACCCATGGGCTAAATTATATTATTTTGAACAAGAAATGGCCACATTTGCATCAACATCATCATTAGAAAAAAATCATATGAATTATCCGATGGGCAAGTAATTACAATTAGAAATGAGCGTTTTCGTTGTCCTGAACCTTTAAGAATATAGTGGGCATAAACGGGTTCAACAGCCCTTTTACGCTGTACACTTTTATATCTGAATTCAGACCTTAGACAAAAATGGCACCATTTGAACCGTACGAACGACGGTAACAAATAATTTTCAAAGTTTTCTACTTTTTCTATATATAGCTACACTATTTCGTTTATTGTTTTAATTTTTTTTTTCAAGTTGAAACTCTTAATGGTGCTAATTGTTTTCGTCTCTATACAAATGCTACACATACACAAATGAAAGAAGTTTTATTGCATCTGAGTGATTTTATTGAATATTTAACAGCTTACCATTTCCATCAACGACATTTTTGGGCTAATTTTCAAATCAATGTTTATTTAGGTGTCATTAACCTTTTGCATTGAACAATAATTTCGTCATTTTTTTAATTATAGAATAGAACTTTCTAATTCCTGAGAGAATTTGAAAAAATTGTTATTCTTGTTAGGTTAGGTGTTTCGAATATGTTGGCGAGTGTATAAATACGAAATGGATAGAACAAAAGCCAATTAAAACTCAAAAGTTTTGTGACTATTAAACATAAGTGTTGCTTATGTTAAGCAAGAATTTTATTCGGAACAACTTTAATTGGTTCGACTATGAGCAGATACGGGAAACTATCGTCTTACAACCAAATAGAATCAAAGTGACCACTATTTTAATATTGAGCATGCATTCAGCACATTTTGATTTCATTTCTCCTACACACGTATAAAAATACAGGCATATACAAAAAAAAAATAGAGAAATGTGCGCAAAAATAAGTGTAAGTATCTGACACAAAAATATCTGATCAATATCTGACTATGTACATTTGAACAAAAAAAAAAATGAAATCACAATTTATATACGAATAATAATTTCATCACATATCATAATTTGATTATCATCTTGCATTTTAACTAATGCTGAACGTATTTCATTTCCAGTGAATGTTGAATCATGTTTATCAAAATAATCGTGTACATCTGACATTGGAACAGATGGTTGACGATCAATTAATTTTGATAAATGTGTTTTAAATACGTCCAAGCTGAAATAGAAACATAGAATTCATATTTTGTAAACGAAAAAGAAGTATATTTTAATTACCGATCAGCTGTAATGGAATCCAACTGTCCTACTGTAACACTATCAATATCCATTCGAGGCTTTCTTTTTCGTTGAGTAGTTAATACACCATCGGTTGACGGTGCATCTTCGTCATCAACATTTCCATCGGTTATACCAGGTGGTTTATGACGATGACGTTTAACAGCGCTGCTTTCATTTGATGGCGATGAACGTCTAAACAAAAAGACAAAAAGGCATATAAATTATTAATTGTTTCTAGGTATTAGCTAAAGTTATATTATTCGATATGAGAATAAAAAGACATTTGGACAAACCGTCTTTTCGGTGTAGCTGCAGGAATATTTTCATCATCATCCACTTCATCATTATTATCATTCGCAGTTGGTTGTTTTTTAGATTTTGTTTTTTCCAGGACCTTAATGAAAAAAGAAGACGCTTTTCTTTTTTTTTTTTAAAGCAATAGTAAAAATACCTAAACATACTTTTTTAAATATAGCAAATTGTACAAGATCAAGAGCTACTTCAGCATCTTCAGTATCGACTGTCTTCGACATACGACATTTGGCATGTGCCGTGGCTAAACGAATCATACTTTCTAAACTTCTAGCTGTTATTGGTTGAGTCTAAAATATATAAACAAGGAGATAAATTATGAACAACAAAAAATTTAAATTTTTTGATTGCACTTACACGTGCTTGATTATCCGTTTGTGTTAAATCTTGATTACGTAACCTTGTATATTCTTCAACAATCAAATCAGCAGCATCCTTTGTTAATTGTGGTTTTAAATTCTTAGCAAAATGAATATATTTTTTCATAAAACGAATGTTAACAAATTTTGTCCTAAATATATAAGAAAAATAAAGTTAAGTACTGAGAAAAAAAACGATAACTTACTTTTTTGAATAATACGGTCCATGTAAAACAGCATCATATTTATCGTAAACTTGTATTTCCTCTTCATTTTCTCGTTCAGCATCATTGATCGTTTCTGTTGTTAAAGCATCAACTTCAGAACCAAATGGTAATACTTAAAATCCAAAAATATGTTAAACACATAGAAAAGATGATTTAGAAGATTACTATTGTGTGTAATTTTCTATCTCAGTAGTGGTCTAATAAGAAAATTACCTTCTCCATCCTGTTCATTAGCTGGACGATAACGATGCATTCGTAGTACATGATCAGCAATTATATTGTCTTGTTCCATATCACAGTTATCCAATAAAACAAATATCAAATCAAAACGTGATAATAATGAATCTTGTAAACCAATATTTTCCATCGGCGTTTTATATTGATCATACTAGAAAAGTTTTATGGATTATAAAACCATCTGTCAGTACTAATAGACTTCTATTTTAACAGTTTCAGAATACTCACTCTTCCATAAACGGGATTTGCTGCAGCTAAAACACTACATCTTGCATTTAATTGTGCATGTATTCCCGCTTTGGCGATTGTTACACGACCTTGTTCCATAACCTCATGTATAGCTGTACGATCAATATCAGACATTTTATCAAATTCATCGATACACACAATTCCACGATCAGCTAATACCATAGCACCAGCTTCCAAACGTCTATCACCCGTTTCAGCATCAGAAGTGACAGCTGCAGTCAGACCCACACCGGATGAACCACGACCAGTTGTCGGTATAGCACGAGGTGCAATATGTAATACATAACGCAACAATTGTGATTTAGCAACGGATGGATCACCGATAAGCAAAATGTTAATGTCACTAGAAATGAACAAATCAAATATGTGCGAGACAAAACAAAGAAAAATCAGCTTGCATACCCACGAAGACGAGTACCATTAGGTAAAACCTTTTCTGTTCCACTCAATAACATGCATAGAATAGCTTTTTTAATATATTCATGACCGTAAATTGATGGTGCAATTGAATGTGCCAATAATTCAAAAATATCCTGTCAAGGAAAATACACAAATGAATTTATCCTTATTAAGCAACCCCTTATACTTACAACATTGCGTTGTTTGCTGAAAGATCGAATTTTCTTGACATCAGCCAAAGAGACTTTGGGCTCTGATTCTTTGCTCATAAGACGAATATTGTTAGCAATTAAAACCGTTCTGCATGAGAAATACGTATAATAAAAAGTTTTTTGAAGTCGCATAAAATCTTACCGAAAAGAAACATTCGTGAAGCCACCTTTCTTTCCGGGTAAACAACGATAAACACCGACAACTTGAACACGATCTCCCGGCTATGAAACCAAAATATACTAATCATTATAGAATCATATCAAATACAAGAAAAGATAAGAATATACTTTGCATTGATCAACAAGATCCGTATCAGCTATAACATCAATCGAACGCGGTAATTGTCCGGTGGGCGCTTTTTCTGGTATTTCCTGTATAGCAAATGTCTGATGATCTTTGTAACTCGATAAACCATATTCAGTTTCTAACAAATTTCCATCATCGTCCTGGAACGAATATAAATGTTAAGTCCTTTTCAACAACAAGATATCGTATAACTCAGTTAAAGTACTAAAAGCTATAACCTTTGTTGGATATGCTGCTGATGTTGGAAATGCTTCTAACGATGTCATGTCAGCATAACGACGTTCCATAAATTTTTTTGTTGTCGGACAAAAATGAACACTTCGTGTCACTTTTGGACGAATGAGAGAACCTGTAGAAAAGATATGATATTATACTTTCATTCTCATAGAAAACGAGGAGACTAACATTTATTAACAATTCCTTCAACGCAAACAATTTTTCCTATATATGATGCATGAATAGTACGTGGCGATAAATGCAATGCTCCAAAACTGAAATTAGAACGCATAGTTATTTCACTGGTTGAACTAGAGCAAACATAACCATCTTACCTTCCTTCAAGACCAATATAAAATTCTTCATATTGCTTTGCATATGTAACATCTGCTGCTGATATAAGTTCTCTTAATGCACGTTGAAAACATATTAACTCTTCAAATGCATTTTGTTGCAACCTTAAATAGATATTAAAATCTATTTTGTTTACAATTGTTTGTAATTGCTTATCATTTCGCTTACGCTTTTGTTCTTCGAGGATTTTTGTGTCTCAAATCATTAATATTTACTATTAAACGGCATTCATCATTTGCAATCAAATGTTTCAGTTTCTCTTGATAAATACCATCATGCTCCTATAAGTAAAATAGAACTGAAATAGGTAATTATAAAAGATAAACCAAATACTTACACTATCATCCAAAAATTCGAGATATTCACGTTGAATAGTTCGCAAACGTTGCTCTTCAATTGGATCCATAAATACACAATCTTTAAAAAAAACTTTCACAAAATAGATATGTTCATGTTAGCAAAGCAAGTATGCTTAATTTTAACTTAACTAGTCGCTTAACCTGAAATTTCGACGTATCAGTGTCTTTAGATCTACCGTTACACTTCAGTAACAAATGCGCAGCGTTCATCTGTGTGACCCATCACCTTTTACAGAAAGATGAATTTTTTGTCACCATTACACATACAAAAAAAAAAACGCGGTAAAAATATTTCTGTAGTTGAGATATTGTTAATACGGGCAGAAACAAATACTCATCAACAAGATTTACATAAGTAGTACCTAGTAACACCTTCGTTTATACACAACTTACATCAGAGTTTGATTCATTTTATTACAAAGATCAAACAGACATATGAGTACACACATATAGACAGATACCACAGATGAGAAAGAATCTTTAGATATAATCAAAATGACAATGCACAAAAACAAAATCCATTGCACTTACAAAAAGAGGCATAAAAAAAGAACAAGTAGAGAGTAACCGGACAAACAGTTTGTTTAATGAGATAATGAACAAGCATGTAATTTCATATTTCTGTACTCTATACATAAACAAAAATACATTCTACATATATTTACAGAGTGTGGGAAATTAACTTCATACACATGCGAAAGAAGGCAAAAAAAACTTGCATGGATAAATGTTTAGTTTCGTCATTGTTTAAAACAAATACAATAAGTATATGTTTTTTATGCAATGTTTTTTAAGCAAATGTCAATGTATGGAAACAGAAAAAGAAATAAACAAACACTCGCGCATACACCAGATGTGTCGATCAATCTCGTAATGTAAAAAACAAAAAAGATTTCAAATGAACGAACACAGGTACATTAATTAAAGAGCTAATACTTCTGAAATATTAAGTTCAGAGAGTCAGATATTTTGTCTCATTTCCGCATCAACAAACATGATTTCAATATTGTGTCGATCAAATCGGGTTGACTTGCTTTCAATTGTTTCCAGCCCTATAAAAATAATCAAAACAATATGAAACTTGTTAACCAGTTTTCATACGTATTGCACATTTTTAGATACGCGAAGCGTACAATTCTTGTCGTGTCACTTACAATAGTAGATACATGCAAATCGATCTACACTTTACCAGGAATGTTTAAAAAAATTAGACTACCTATGTGAGTGATTACTTACAGTTGTATCCATAATTAATCCTAAATTATTTGCAATATAATCACACGTTGTTTGTTTTAGACAATCAGATTTCATTTGATCGGACAACATTAATAATTCACTATAAGACAACAAAATACAAGTCATATCAACTAACTTGAAACTAATTTTTTATCTTTGTGTCTTACCATGCATTATCAACACGTATAATATCTTTTAAATAATATTCGGCATAATTTTTCAAATCAGGCATTTCGTACGTTGCTGCAATGGTCAATAAATCAATGATCAGCGTATGTGATACGGCTGTTGATGATAAATTTTTTATTCCACCCGTATAAATATATTCAAGAAAATATAACATTGTTTTTGGTTCAATATCATCAACATCAATTGTCAAAATTGATTGTCCACCTTTACCAGTTGTTTGATTTTCATTTGTTTCTGTTTCCATAGCATTATCGTTTGTAGTTTTACCATGATGGCTAAACAGCAAAAAAGACAAGAAATTAGTAAGAAATCCGTACTTTTTATAACAGTATGACCAGTTTAAAAAGTTTTGGTTTATAAGAAACCGTTGACATACTTTGTTTGACTTGTACTACTTTGATCTTTAATCATTTGTTCGAATTTACTTGAACGTAAACCTAACACTAATTTATGTACATGATACAATTCACTTTGACAACGTATAAACATGTCACATAGTTTTTTTTCCAAATAAGCCGTATAAAATAAATTTGACCAATAGGTTGCTGGATCATCAATAATTGAACTTGTGTTTGTTCCACCCTGAATCGATTTTCTATTTGGTAATAAGCTTTTTATTGCTGGATGAGTTAAATATTTTCGTTCATCAATTGACTGTCTTTCTAATATTTTAATTTGACAATATAATCGCAATTCATTACCGGGAAATAATTGCTGTTGTGCTTGTAATAATGTTGAATGTTTAATAAAATCACCAACACCCCATCTCTCACCGGGAGCCAAAATATGTGATGGTAATTGTTTGGTATTAACACGTCGACCACGAGCATCAATCAACGAAAATCGTATAACAACCCTTACACTCGGACCAAATGTATGTTCAAGAAATACGGATAATGATTCTTTAAATCGTTCAGTTTTACCCGATGGGTACAATATTAATGACCATTGATGAGGTGGAATATCTGATACTGATGATAGTTGTTGTTCATCTTTTTTACTTCCATTTGTTAACTGTTGATCATCGGTCACATCACCTTGTTGTTGAGGTTGATCTGTTGAAACGTCTTTTTCTTTTTCAATTGTTGTTGTTGTCACACCAGTTGCACGATTTTTAGTAAAATTAAATTCTGATGATTCAATAAATCCGTGAGATGGTGATTCATTCACTAATGTTGAAAATTTTTCAATTTTCCAACGTAATTTCATTTTTAACACTTTTGATACAACTCTTGACGTATCTGAGTATATTTTTGATGTACTTTTCATACTACGTTTGTATAAATCATCGATTGACATTAATTCTAATGATATAATTAAATGATCTTTTAAATCTTTGTATAATTGTTCGCACGTTTGTTTCGATAATTTCATTATTATTAATTCATCAACAATATTTCCACCGCATTCATGATTTATTTCTTGATGAAAAATTTTACCCTGTGGATTAGAAAAATTGATTAATGCACGAAAATAAATTTGTAATTGTTTTGAATTATTCATTAATGATGATGCAATATGATTTGCATTGTTTAATGTTGATGAACCGGATCCATTTTGTTGACCGGCATTCGGAATACCGGTTGTTGACGATGGAGTTTGTTGTGTTTGTGTTGTACAATGAGAAGGGCACAATGTGAAATATAATAATGTATCGTCTTGTGCCGGTTGATCTTTGGATAGTGTTTGAAAACGTTGATGACCTTTTGGATATATACGAAGTGTCCAATATTCTTTTTGTAAATCATATGGTGGAAATTCTTCGCTTTGAATCATATCACCACATTCATACATTTGTGGATAGAAATCTTCGACTGTCCATTCAAAACGGACATGTGAAACATTTTCAATAGTTGTACATAAAAAATCAGCTTCATTTGTTGCTAAAAAGAAAAAATAATAACAAGTGAATAGAAAGTGCAAATAAAGGCTTTCACCGATTTTGGTTAAAACAAAATATGTAAAACAAGTTTCAAAAATTTCAATTTTTTCGCATCGCTTTTTTATAAAAATGACTGAACTATTCTTGGAACTTACGTATCGGCTTTGGTAAGCCAAGTGAATGGGATGATGTTTGATCCGTAGGTGCTATTGACGAATCATTCATTGTACTATCCATATGAACAGAGGTGGTGCTTGGAACAGTTGTTCCAACGCCACCTCCAACCCCATTGATGTCATCGTTTGTTCCAGTCGTAGCAGGTAAAGTTCCGCATGAAGAAATACCAGTTATAACGGCTTGATCTGTTAAACCACCACTTTCACATACATCAGCTACAGATCGTTGAGAACAAATACTATCAAGACTAAAATGAAGACAGAAATGACCCAGATTAAAAAACTTTGCTTAAAACGTTTTGACGATATTATCAGAAAAAGCTCAATAGTTTTTCCTTCATATTTAGTATTACCATATACATGTGAGCAGAAAAATCTTTTCTCGCTTATAATCTTACTTACTTATCAGTAGGTGTCTCTTGTTCAACTGTACGTCTTGATGCGAATTTGCGTGACATTAGTTGTGGCGCAGAGAACATATAATTGTCACAACTAATAGCAAAATAAATAAACACAATTTAATGAATAAAAATGTTTAAATCTAAAATGAAAAGAAAAGTATAAAATAATTCAAAAAAACTTTATAGGCGTACGCTGATATTCACAGCAGAAAACAATAGTTCTTAAACCCTAACTGTAGTTTCAGAAATTTGAAATTCATGTTTTATTAAATGAAAAACGTCATCATCGTTAGTTTCAAAGATGAATTTATTAGCAGAACGAAGATTTCACATCTATCGAGAAAGTAATATACAGACAAATTGAAAAGCATCATTCCCGAAAACTGATAGATAGAAACTTGCATATTCCAAATAAGCATGTGTAGTGGTGACACAAATTATAAAAACTTATTAAATTAGTCGCTACATATAGTAAGGATAGTTTCTGACATTATTCCATATCGTTGTGGAAGCATTAAAAACTGGTGAAATGGAAGATACGATGTTGAATGGGACTTATGGAGGAAAATAGAAGTCAACTAACATCAGTCTCGTTGACAACCTTATCCTAGTCTTGAAAAAATAACGTAATGAGGGCACAGAAAACCGGAGCAATAGTTGCTACGGCGAAATGAATGTCTGCTTACGAGGGAACCGTCCCGCGTGATCTACCTCGTTTTCAATCATATTTTGCTGATATGTAGAGCCTATTGCCCTGAGAAAAAGCCTAAAAGGATTTGGGCCCATGTTACTTCCTTCAAGAGTTATTGAATTTTTTGGTTTCGACGAGAAGGGCGAACGCTAACATTAAATTTTTTATGACTCTGTCAAAACAGCAGGTTAAGAGCTCAAATTTTTTTCTTAGCACAGCCTAGTCATTTACCAATAATCTCCAAAGATCCAGGCCTTTAGCTGTTATACTGAATGAACAATCGATTATTTACGTTTTTACTTCGTTCTTTCTCGTTTTTAGTTCTTGATCTAAGGTTTATTTTACGCAGTTAAAAATATTATGAGAGAAATAATATAATTAAACTAAATTCCCTGATACATAACCAACTTTCTTCGAAAATATTTCAGCCTATGATTCGGTATGCCTGGTTTGCTTCCGAATATCGTGAAACGGATCCTCAGCCATTCCAAAATGTAAAAGGAATATGTTTCTCGTTTACGAATGATCAATATGCGTAAAATAAACGTTAGATCGACGAATCGCTAAAAAGTAAATAAGGTAAAAACGTAAATATTCGATTGTTCATTCAGTATAACAGCTAAAGGCCTGGATCTTTGGAGATTATTGGTAAATGACTAGGCTGTGCTAAGAAAAAAATTTGAGCTCTTAACCTGCTGTTTTGACAGAGTCATAAAAAA